AAAATCGTTCAAGCGATTTCACATGGTTGATACGATCCGTCTTTGTCGTGTCTGGTCCTGTCTGTCTTCCTTCGCATCAGTTCGTGCCGAGCCAAAGTGTGTGTGTGTGTGTGTGTGGGTGCGTGTGTGTGTGTGTGGGTGGGGTGGGGGGGAGCCAAGCTGTTCAATCATGTCGATTAGTATGTATCTGCGGGAATGGATGGATGAATGCAGGATGTGCGTGTATGTGTATGTGTATGTATATATATATGTGTGTGTGTGTGTATATATATATACATGTATATGTATATATGTGGATGGATAGATAGATAGATAGATAGATAGATAGATAAACAGAATATTATATATATATATGCGTGTTAATACATGTAACATTTACACATAACGGAGAGACACGAACACACCTGTTCACGTTCACCACGGCCTTTCTTTAGTATGGTGCTTCGACCTTTGTGATTCACCGACGCAGCGTGCTTCGCCTCATCACAGCCCAGCAGGGACATAGAGTGTTGAGGGCCGCTGCTCCTACCACGAGGAGACTGCAGACAGAGCAAACCAGTAAATCCACTCTCTCGGTTGGATGTTGAACTCAGGATCCCATCTTCGGTGCTAGTGTAAGCTTTCTGACGCTCCTGCAGGCTTGCATCCTACTGATGGACTCGCGGTAGAACTGGAATGGAATCTGACCTCGGCACCCGTGGCATGGGCGGTCAACCTTTGCACACTGCATCATGGGAGCTGGGAGATTGGGTGATCTCCGGTGACAACCTGAGAGCCATACTGATTTTGTCTGGGGATGTGTTGCCAAGCTCCCAGAATTTGTCCTGCATAGGTCGTGGCAAACTGGCCGACCCGTCGTGACAAGCAGTGGCAACAACAAGTTCACAAGGTATCCCATTCAGAATCCTACATAAATGTCCTGCCACCTGGAAAACGGACAAGATTCATAGTGGATCACCATGAGGGCTGGTCCAAATGGTTCCTGCAACAGCACAAACCCGGGCACCTGATCTGCTCTCGATCTTCGCACGTCGAGTGTAACGAAGCCTACAAAAACACAGCAGGCCTGATCCAGGTGAACCGACGGCAGCTCCTGGTTCTTGGCATTGCGCCACTGGTGCGGGCCGGCAGGGTATGCCTCCAGGACGGGCAACAGCAACATACACGCCTCCTTTGAACGGCATGGCACACTCGGCCTCACTTGCTGCCACCCGAAGAGCAGACTTGCCATTCGCGTAGGACTGGAAAGTGTAGCGGTTCAGATTGACCTCCCAGCCATCAAAGGCCGAAACTCTCTAGACTAGAAAAGCCCACTCCCGAATGCTCGTAGATCCGACTGTCTCTTAATGCCTTGTCTGTCTGGGCAAAGCAGTTCTTCACCTGGCGAGATCGTACCAGCCGACGACAGCTGAAAGGGCAGCTGACAGCATGGTAGGCCTCCGGAGAAGTATAGACAGCCTCCACATTTGGCAGGTATGCCTGGAGCATCGAATCGACGAGGAAGCGGCAAGTAGGCCGCACCATGAGCCAGCTAAGAACCGTCTGCAGGCTCATCGAAATGTTTTGGCGCAGGTGGTCAAATTCTCGGCTTCCGTTGAACGGCCGTGCGGAGGTGCGCAACTGATGCGCACGATCTCACGCCTGGAGATGAGAAACCCCCTGTATTCAGACCAACCTACTCTGGCAGATTGGAAGGGTGCCCTTCCATGCCTGCTGGAAAGCTACTAACTCCCAAACCAGCTAGAAGTATTGAAAAGTTGAAAGCCTCTTGTGTTGAAAGGGCTTTCAAACCTGTACTTTGCAAGCTCAGCGTTCGCACCAGAAAGGCAGATCTACTACTTGCCCACCGTATCGCGCAAAGCTTCTCGCCATGACTCTCTATCATCTACCAATACATTATGTCAATTATGTCTTCTGACGCCAGCGGACGATCGCGGAGCTTCTAGGAGCCACCAACATCCCAGGCCATTGCAAAGGAGCCGGGAGATGGCAACGAGTGCAGGCCAGGATCCTGGCTTCACATGCCTTGGAAGTCAGGATCATCCAGAAGCATCAAGACTCTAAAGATTGTGAGATGGCCGCAGGCTTCAACCACCCTGCTGCAAAGGCTCGGGGTGCTTAGAGAGCAGCAAGCAAAAGGCAGCGAGTTCGTAAGCTTTCCGCACAGATCCTCCAGATGTTCCGTAGCAGATTGTTCGGTTACGGCTATGGAGGTTGGTGGCCGAAGTTTCTGCATGGATACTGGCAGCGAGCACCGTGGTCCTCTCCCAGCGAATTGGTGCGCAATCTGCCCAAACGCCAGAATGCGACAGTCACCTGCTTTCAGAGATGCTTATCAACTCCTATGCCGCTCCAGGGACCTGGCTCCCAGGCGCCTTGCATAGGGTTACGGCGGCTACGCCTAGTCATCCGTGCCAGAGAGGAGTCCACGAAGGAAGAAGAAGAAGGACACCTGCGTGTCCAAGCACAGCAGAGTTGGCGCACGCCACACATTCTGGACTGAAACAAGACCAGCGCAGATCATCCAACTGGCAGAGAAGCCTCTGTAGCACTGATGCCATACCTCGAACTTTGTAGGGATTCAGGGTTTGTATAGTCATGACGGTGATTGTATCGACACAGAGCCTTCTGACTCGTGCTTTCAAGATGCTTATATACAAAGCGCGAAGCAACCCACGCCCCAACGATGGCCGCAATGTAATTCGCCGGAACACGCTCCAGGATTCCCTGTGGGGGGGGGGGCAGAACTTAATGGTTTCGGTTGCTCGGAGTGTCACGATGTCGTTTTGGATCCCGGTGATAGCGCCTCAATGCCAAGCTTCCTCAGCTGCTCACAACGGGACACAAAGAACGAAGACGTGCACCGCGAAGTAATGGGGAGTCTCTGGATGAGACTGACCATGCAACGAAGAGAGGTCGAAATCGCCCCTATGCAGCGCTTTCAAGGCCGCCCGCCAAGGCCGTCCGGCTTTCGAGTATGACTTGTCTCGAACTACCAGTAGTGAGAAAGCATAATTGCACGCACACACACACACACCCGAAGAAATGGAAGAGCGGATCAAATGGCAAAGCACAAGATGAGCGATGTCCAGCTGGGACTCTGCAGCATCAAGGGCGGGATAGCTATAGTCAGCACACGCCGAACGAGCTGCTCCCTCTCCGCAATGGACATGTCCTGCTAGGTCAGAGATCCGCGATGTAAATTGCCGATCGTGTTGCACGTCTGCTGCCCAAGCATGCGTCTTGGAAGTCCTCGAACTTTTCCATGATGGTGTCCTGCAGCTGAGATTCCAGGATCAAGGGTATCGAGTCACATGCAGCTACGCCACAGGGTGCGCGTACAGCTCGGTGTCCTGCATCTTCGTGATCTTGCCTAGTGTACCGCGGGTGCACAAGGGGCGCCACAAAACAAGAAAGTGCAGCAAGAGAGGCACGGAAGGAAGGGATGACGGCAAAACCCCAAGCCAAAAGCCCCCAAAACCACGCCGATGCTGGAGGGGAGCAAAACGCGAGTATCACTGAGTGCAGCCGCAGGGCTGGAGATGAGTTTGGTGGCATCCACCTTCAAGGCCGAGAAGACCCCAAACCCTGGCCCTGCACTACATCCTCAATCTTAAACCCCAAACGAGAGGCGCAGGTTCAAATTCTAGTCCCCCCTTGGGACATCTGGGGTCCCTATCAGGGTTAAACCATAACAAAAAGAATGCGCAGCTGAACAACCCCCGTCCATTGTTTCCTAACATGACCCCCCCCCCCCCTCGCCTTCTTGATGCCTTTGATGCTACACTGCCAGATAGCCTTGAACTCCTGCTTGGCGTTTTCGATGATGATCTCCTTGATCTGCTGCACCTTAATTAGAGGGTTTAGGGTTTAGGGTTGCGCAGTAGCTCCAGCCCGACTTGAGGCACAGGAATGCCACTTTGGCACGTAGTCTTGGTAAAATTGCGGCGCTTGTCCTGAGTCGCTGACACTGTTTTTGTGCTTTCCCTGCTCAACGTGAGACACATGGCCTAGATGAAGACGCACTGAGCCTGACACATTCGGAAAGCATCCCAACTCTGGCAAATCTCCCCTGATGCACTTCCCTGCATCTCCACAACAACCTTTAAGAACTTCCTGATGTCCCAGTCTTTTAGCCTGCATCGCAGAGTGCTTTGGGCTCTCAGTTTATGATCGGCCAAGCATCCTTTGCGAGGATCAAAGCACATCAGCGCTGAATGATCCTCTGCTGGCAGCGCAAGGGCTGCAAATACCTCCAGCGACGAGGAGTTGACGCCGCCCTTGCAGGGTGCACCAAGCTGGGACTCTGGGGGATACAGGGGGTTAGAACAAAGAACTTGCTCTCCCCACCTTGTTGGTAGAAGCGTCCTTGAAGACATGGACACCAGCATTCTCCAAAGTTACTCGTGCCCCATCAGACAAGAAGAGATTCGCACCTTCGACCTGAGAGATCCCCCGCGGTTGTTTCAGCATTGAGAGGGAGCTTTAGGGTTAGGGTTTAGGGTTCAGCTAGTACAAGGGCCAGCTTCCTCCCCATTTGCCGAGTCACGATAAGCCGAAACTTTGGCTTCAAGCCGTCTGCTGTAAACATGCGCTTGACATTGTCACTGGTGATAGAGTTGGGACGGCCGCCGCAAGGAACGAAAAGGTCTGCTGTTGCGTAGGTTGTGAGGTGGAAAGAGTCTCGCAACCTCGGGCGGCATCTGATTTTGACTTTGAGTTAGCAGGTCTTCCACAGGACACATCAGTGGAGTGGCTCTGCGCCAGTCAAGTACTTCGATCCGTCAGGCAGAACAACATCACTCTCATCCACGACAACAAGGAAGCCGCCAGTCCTTTGCTGCTTTAAAGGAACCCAAGATCCAGAGCACCCACTGCACACGGCGCCGACGAGGCAGAGTGCTGCCAAGCCGCTTCAGCAAGGAACGATCGAAATGCTTCACAGGCAGACGCTGTTTTGCCAGGTGCCGCAGCTCCACGCGGTTGAGACCAGCCGGATCATAGAGAACACCAGAACCATCTACGATTGCCTTGCAGCGCCATTGCATACCATGCTCTCATGTGATTCCCGGATTCGCCATCTTTCCGCGACAAGTCACAACGGTGTTGTCCTTGGAAATCAAAATTTCATTGGAGCCTAAATCGCCGTCAGGGCCACCTGTTTGGAACTTGGTGATTTGGCTCTCGTCCTGCAAAAAAGCGGGATTGGGACGGGGATGAAACAGCACTCCATCACTTCCCCGTGCCGTGCGAGTCCTCGCCGAGCTGGTGCCTCAGCGGAACTGGGACTGCAATGGTGTGGGCCGGTGTTGGGTAGACGGTATGGGGGTTGCAGGCTGGCGGCATAGGGTGTGGGGTATCGCCGCAGCGAGGTTTCAGCAACAGCAAACAACACCGGCAAGAATTTACGACCGAACCTCGCCGGAACAGGCTGCAAGTTGATGCGAGGAGCAGAAGCTCTGTCACGTAAGTGTGGACACTCGTGGTGGTCATGGCGTAGGTATCGTGCGGCACTCCACCTTCACATTCTTGACACCGACAAAATCATCAAGACGCAAAATGGAATCATGTGCTCAAGCGCAAGCTCAACGACATGTGATTAGAGGTAGGGAGGACAATGCCACTGTGTTGATGCTTGGTGCGGGAGTTGTTGCGCAAGCAGAGGCTACGACTTCAATGCTTCCGTGGGCAGCGCCTAAAGAAACGCTCTTGCCGGTGGTGAGTGACTTCCAGTATGGATAGCCCCGCTCTCGAGCAATGTCTGCACCCAGGTCCATGAACCTTCGGGGCTTATGTGCGCTGAAAACCACAGACGATGCCCGATGCCAGATAAGGCATTTCATGCCAATGTCGTTTCCAAGCAACCCTGCTGTATTCTCATCGGGCCCAAAGAAGAGAATTTCCTTCTTCGCATGCATGTGCCCACTGTACAAGTTGTTTTGTTCTGGCTGCATGCAATCCAGCAATGCGTTGACATAGTTGATGAAGCAGGAGCCTTAAAGTTAAAGGCTCCAAGGCCGCGGCTGCACACCAAGAGAGGCAACTACAAAAGGACGGACAGTTAAACTTAAGTTTTCAGGCCAGGCCACGCATTGCTGCTGGGCTTTGCGATGAATTTCCCATGAGCGCGTTGCCATCCACATCCTTCGCCCCAGACCAGTTTGAATCTGGTAGAATAACGCCCTTCGCTCCACCTGCCCATCAACCCGAGCTGCCAGCCCACAGCAAGCTCTTTCCTACATGCATCATGTGTGTTCGCAGAGTTGCAAACGTGGTATGCAGCAGACCTTCCGGAATGTCTTTGTTTTTGTTCTGCTGAGTGTACGCGAGGTTGTAGCATTCGTCGAACAACGTGGCAAAGTTCCGCTCATAAGCTGCCCCGTCGCGGGATAAGACCAAGCGGATGCCACCCCTAGCAACATCCCGAAATCGCGTGTGAAAGCCCATGAAATCTCGGCCGCAAACCATATAAATCCTCGGTCAAGACTTGGCGCTGACACGGTACCCAGCAAAGCTTAAGCTTGCAATCGCTCCAAGGGTCCCATATGGAATCTCGGGATAGAGGGAAGCCGGGCGGTCCTTCAGGACTATGGCTGGGTCCTGGCGACACAGGCGAGCTTCACTCCTCACCACAAAGCCAAATCGCAGACCCCAAGTGTGCAGGCAGTCCAGACGAAATGCAAAAGCTCCAGGAATCTCTGGCTTGAAGAAGTTGGTGAGTCGGACGCTGTGGTTGAAAGTAAGGAACATCCTGCAGGCACATCCTTTGCTGTCATGAATCTTCAAGCTCTGGTCCGGCGATGTTAGAAAACCGTCCGTAAGATCTGCCGATCTTGCGGATCGCTGCAGGCTGCATCGATAGAGGCGCCCAGCACAGAATTGAAATTCGGAGCGGACTCACCTTGCCGTGTGCGAACTGCAGAATCAATGAATCAAACGCAGCCGCCATCCTGCGAGACTTTTGAGGGCTCCCCACCTGTTGCAATCTTTCGGAAGTCAGTATAGAACTGCTCAGCCAATGCTGGGTGTCGGCTAATCCTTGGACCAGTTAAAACTCCGATGAGCAGGTTTACTCATCTGGCAGCTAGGCTAGCTTATACACGTGAGTGAGTGTGTGTGTGTGTGTCTCTGTCTGTCTGTGTCTGTGTGTNNCCCTTCCCCCGCACGCGAGCGCGCAGCTGCGGGTCTTTGCCGGAAAGAGGTTCCACTGAGGGGGTTGCCCCCCCAGGGCTCGGCTACACAGTGGCTGTTCGAGCAGGTGCACCCACACAAGCAAAAGCAACTAGAAGTAAACTCGACTGCAGACAACACTTCACTCTGAGGGCCGGGCCGCTTTGGAGATTTTAAGGTCTCTCTTAAGCTTCCCGGCCTACTTGGGGTGTCCCACGGCTCGTTGTAGCTGTTGCTCAAGTTCCCCCACTGCAGGACAAACAAGTGCAATGCATTACATGTGGTGAGGTACTTGAGAAGGGGGGCCATGGCAAAAACATGCGTATTTCACGGACTGAATTGATTGAAGCCATGGCTTGTCCCCCCGAATTCTGTGTCTCTCTCTCTCTCTCTCTCCCAGTATAGGTGTATGAGTGTGTATATACATATACGCATATACATAGACGAACACATACATATACATCTACATCTACATCTAATTACATCTACATCTACAACTACATCTACATACGTGTGCATATGGGTGTGTACATGTGCATGTACATGCATACATACATACATACATACATACACACATACCTACCTACCTACCTACCTACCTACCTACCTACCTACCGACCTACCTACCGACCTACCTACCTACCTACCTACGTATGTATGTATGTATGTACGTGCACCTTCATGTCTACATCTTCCTTTTCCAGGCATTTATCTGCGCATGTACTTGTTTGCTTCCTTGCTTGTTTATTCATTCACGCATTTGTGTGTTTCTGTTTACATAGCTATCCTCATAACACTGTGTGTGTATGTCTACTACTAGTTTGGCACGGTGTCTTTAAATGACGTAAAGTATATATGGTAGACTATATGAACGTATGATTGTAGCAAGGATATGAGCTTTCCATGTCTGAGGTCAAGCTGAGACTCAGCTGGTAGATTCGCTCGGTGGAAAGCAAGTCCTTCATGCAAAGGCGGTACAGCGTCTCCAGCTTTCTCTGGGCCGCAGGGTTTTGCTCCAAGACCTTGTGGACACCAGTGTACTCCCGGGAGTACTGCTCTTTCGGGAAGAATGCATAGACGAACTTCACAGCTGCCAAAAGGTAGAGACCGCATTCGTGAGAAATCCTGACAACATGCTTTTTTCATATTGCCTCAATCAGTGTGGTACGCACTATGAGGTCCTGACGCTAAGGACACAGAGAATTGGTTAGTGTTCCCGCGCGGCGCCGCGGACAGCGTTCTCCGGGGCCGCATGTTCTGTCTTGCGCTCACGTCCTCTTTGATACTCAGGATCCGTGCGGCCGCAGAGTGATTGTAAGCTTTGTTAGCTGCTATCGCCACCTTTTCGCCTCGAAATGCTTGGATTCCGCCAGTTGACAGTTGGGGAAGCGTTGTGGAAGCAATCTGGCCGTGTCCGGGTGGTCTCCTGCTGATCTCCTGGCGGTCTCCTGGTCGTGGTCGTCTTGGTCGTCTTGGTCGTCTTGGTCGTCGTGGTCGTCGTGGTCGTCGTGGTCGTCGTGGTCGTCGTGGTCGTCGTGGTCGTCGTGGTCGGTGTGGTGTTCTATGCATCACTGTTCGGGGTTCAATACCGGCATAGTATGTTATAGTATGTGTTGCGTGCTACATTATGTCCGATTTTGATACGTTATGCTATACTATATCTTATCCCGGTATCCCGATTATGTTATGTTGTGTGATATCATGACATTTTACGTTTTGTTCTGCTGATTCTATCAGAATGTTTTCTAGCGAGCGCAGTCTGCTCCCAACAGAACCTCGTATTTGATCGATAAAGTCGATAAAGAGCCAAGAAGTCTGTACAAACATACGGCTCAAAGCAATAGCACCACGTCAACCATGACGAGGTTACATTGCTTTTTACCTGGAGAGGCTGAAGAGCTTGGTGTGCCATCATCTGGAACTGAAAAGGATCTAGCCTTTGAAGGGCCTGTTGCTTGACAACTTGGAGATGGGCCTTACTGTCGGGATCAAACATGGCTATGGGACCTGCTTGTTGCTTGCATGCGTCTAGATATGTCTCCAGCAACCAGTCAGATTTGGGACGACCCGGAGGGTGTAGGTTGTCGGAATGAAATATCACCTGGTTTAAAGGGTAGACGATCTCAGGATATGGCCAAAAAGTCTCAATTTCGCCTCTCTCCATGTGTCACCGAAATGCTCAAAGTTACAGTGGTAGATCTGGCGTAGTTCCTCGTATATCTGTTGATTTGCTTTCTTTGTCTAGAAATGCGGAGGCTTTCCTAGGATGCGTCTCAGGCTTTTTGAAATGCATTTACTTTAGAGATTTCAGCGTTCAGTTGTATACATTCAAGCCCATTAGAATGCGCTGTAGTATATTGAAGTATATTGTATGAGATATCATATCACTGGTATGATAACGGCACACACACACACACACACCCATGATTGCACCCGCAGAACTGGGGGTCTCCTTGACTGCATGACCTTGTTATAAAGCAAGGCGGACCGGCCAGGTGTGGCCTTTAGCAGCGTGGCGTGCATAATCGTTCTCTTCAGCTTCTGGACTTGGTCATCACTGGCAGTTGGGAAGAAGAGGCTGTAAGTGATAACACCATTCGCGAAGCTCTCCAAGTAGAACCGTCGGGGAATTAGTCCCACGAAGCGCATCGCCTGCCAGATCTCCTTGAGGAAGTGTCGACCCACGGTCTCTGCCGTCGAAAAAAGCACCACGAAGCCGTAAGGACATGGCCCAGGGTACATGTGCCCAGGGACTACCCTCACGACACTCCGGCGCGTCGCAACGACATCTTCCATGACCTCAGGAGCCCATGGACTTCTTTCTCCAAGTCTCGACTGGACGGCGCAGCTCGTTTACTCCGCAAGAACCCAAAAGGCACAGAGGGGTGCATCATGAAAGACAGTGAAGGATGAAGATGCTTTGAGACGAGGCATCCCTGAAAAGCACTAATTACCCCAGAATTATACCCTGCTCTTGACCTTCGCAGTTTCGGCTGCATGCATTTGGGTTCACCATATCAACCACTCTGCCAAAAAGGAGCAAAAAAAACGATTGATACACCCGTGCTAGCTTCTCTTCTGATTTACAGCTTTCCGAGGTCCGGACAATTTGGTATTGTTCCTTGGCCTCCCTGGTCTTGGTCATCAAAAAACGTGAGGATGCCAAGACCTCCAAGGAGGCTTCTCCCTCCGCCACCCGGGAGACCTCGAAGTGGCCCTTCTCTACGGAGTAGATGCCCAGGCGCTCTTGTCCGCCAACGAAGGCTGGACCTTCGGAAGACATGAATGTCAAGGCCACCTGAGCTCAGAGCAGCCGCGACAGCGACATGTTGATCAATATTTTTGTTTCTGGATGTCGAATATCGTGTCTTCGCGGCTTCCCGGAAAAATTGATTCCTTTCGCGCATCCATCGCGGAACTTTGGGACGGATGCTTGTAGCAGTGGCAGCTGGTAGTTGCCGTAGGAGTAGCAGCAGTAGTAGTAGTAGTAGTAGTAGTAGTGGTCGTCGTCGTCGTCCACGTCGTCGTCGTCGTGGTGGTGGTAGTAGTAGTAGTAGTAGTAGTAGTAATCGTCGTAGTGGTAGTAGTAGTAGCAGTAGTAGTAGTAGTAGTAGTAGCAGCAGCAGCAGCAGCAGCAGCAGCAGCAGCGCAGTGGCAGCAGCAGTAGCAGTAGCAAGTCTACTGTGTTCCGGCAGAATCTGCTCGG